CTAGGAAGTGTTTAAATTGAGGAGACTCAAATGGCTGTCAAAGTAGAGGAAGATCGACATTAATGACTCTTGGGTTCCTCGATCGTTTAACGAGATTAAATATTTCAGAAATTTGGAAGTTAAACTGTGCTGTACGAGATGGATAACGAGTTATTTAAAGGTACGGATTTCGAAAGAGATTTCTATTGAGTTAACTATGAGCCAAGCATCAATTGTTAAACAACTTAAAATTCAGAATAGCAGTACACATAATATTACATATACATCTCCGGAGATATCTATTGGACCCACCTGAGTAGTTTTTACCTGAGAACGGGGACAGAAATCAGTCTCCGAAACGTTGTGTTTTTTTTAAAAGAAACATGACGGTTTTTAAAAAATAGACAAGAATGGATCATGTCCAAAAACATAATGCTGGTAGCAATGTAACGTCGTCACAAAGTTTTAGATCTTATTTGTTTGAGTTCCTTATATTACTCTGCTATTGAGTATTGGGATTAGAGAAAACATTTGCATGTTTATGAAATTTGATTAGGGATTCCTGTTGAACCGTGAACGGCTTGTTGCCCTCCGCTGGTGCTGCAAAGAATTATCGACTATATTTTCAATTCAAGCGACTGGCAGAATTGTTCCGTTTCCTTGACACAAACTGAGCTGTACCGGAAGCGAGAGAAGGAGTTTCCTTGTTGAGCGCATTTCCGCTGTTCTCTCTTTCTGCCTAGTCTCGCGCCTTCCCATGTTGCAGAACAAACTCTCAGTATCGCAGTCCTTCTGAGCGACATTTTTTCGAACTAAAGTGGAGTAACTTACGCAGTAACTGCCTTCTAAAAGAAGTTATTGAAGGAAAGATAGAAGGGCGGATAGAAGTGGCCAGAAGACGAGAAAGAAGACGTAAGAAGATGCTGGATGACCTTGAGGACAGAAGAGGATATTTTCATTTGAAGGATAAAGCTCTATATCGCATCAAATGGAGGAACTGTTTTGGAAGAGACTGTGGACCTGTCGTCTTGACAGATTACAGATGAATGAATGAAGTGGAGTCTCCAGTGATAATGTATAACATTTAAAGGAGTGAGAGCGATTTCCAGTTACGAAACACTGTGGGCCTCTACACCGCACCATGGCTTTTAATTAATTCCTGATTCTGGATTTCTCATGTACACTAACTGCACCGTGGGTATAAGGGCGGGTCAGGAGAGAAAAATTATGGCACAAGTAAATGTAGGAATGTAGAAGGTTAAGGGGTGGAGTTGTGGAAGAACAAAGGGGATGTGGGGTAGAATAATTCCATTAGGATTGTGGAGAACTAATGAAATGCAGTGGAGGGGCTACAGAAGGGACAACCATGCGATGTAACACAGAGGTAGTAACTAGTTATGAACGCAGGCTGGTGTTGTCTCACCGGCAGATATGCTGCAGGGATGCACATTTCACGTCGTTTATCTGTTAGTTAAATAGAACAGCTCTCATGCTGTAACACACTTATGAACCTCTTCTTCATTTCATATAAGATTTAATATTATTCACATAAGAGTCGAGAAGTATTTGAGAAAATAAATTCACGCTGAAATTTCGGTCCCAAAACGTCACACACTAGTGGACAGTGCCGAGTTTATAAAGGTTCTAATCAATGACTGTTTCGGGATATCCACACTTTATTTATTATTTTAATTGTCTGAAACATATTCCATACAAAATTTTGAGTTCTGTCCTGCCTTCTGGTGGCTGGTTGTCAAACTACTGAGATATATTTTTAATGATTTTTTATTCCAGTATTAATAGTGGCCTTTGGGATTGAAGCAGGGACTTCTCGATTCCTTTCACAGATGCAAATGAGCCTCAGATCTTTCTCACAAAATTTATAAAAACGTAATAACAGATTCGTAGTTTAAATATGCGATATACATGTCAGACAAACACAGCATGCCCATGAAGCATTCACAGAAATTTTCCTCTCAGAAATAACTTCTATATATGAAAACTTGTATATCATAAAAGATTATTATCCTTCGTAATGTTCCTGTAACTAACACAGTGACAGCGGAACCTGAGGAGCGTCACCGGTAACCAAAAATCTCGCCATGGAACCCATCCTGAAATATTTCCATCCTGGCAAACAGTCCTTCTGACTTTCACGTAAATTACTGTCTTTATCATGTGCACTCCTCGGTCATTCAAGTGGACATTTTGCAAGATATCTTCCCGCCATTTGTCTGATGATCCGCTGATCAATTATTGCTGAATACAATTATGAGTATATTGTGGCGTGCCGCATAAAAGTCGGAATATCTTGTGCCAGAGCGGGCGTCCATTGCTAGACAACGGCTTGTTAAAACACGTTCCCGAGACAGCGCATACATAACATACGTTACCACGGTAATGAAAGCCAGAACTAGGGCGGTTCCCGTTGTAACGAATACACTAGCTAACACATGAAAAAGAACCCTTCAAGAAGGTGTCTTCTAGTCCGTCCGACAGTAGAAGATAAGGGACCATAGGAGAACTGAGAACAGGTCACAACATGCCCGTGTGAAGGCGGGGTCGAATACCTCCACCGTGACCCTGCGAGTCGTAGGAGGCGACGAAAAGGAAAGTCTCAAATCTGAGACAGTAAAATATGGTCTCGAGTCCCAAGGGACTCGGACCCGAGAGAGACTGCGCTGGCAAGGACCAGTAGCATGTAAAAAAGACAGACCCGTCCTCTCGTCAGAGAGGACGCCCCACAAAAAAAAACCATAACGTTGAACAGTAATAAACATCTGGAGCTCGACACCAAGACTTACTGACTGACTGACCGTCAGAAAGCAATGTGACTGGGGATTGGGACTGGGAGAACAGGTCAGAACGAGATCAGAGGCGAACGGAGCAGAGCTCGGAACAGAAGTAACCAGCAGATCGAAGGACTAAGAATAAAGACACTCCACCAAGAGTAGCGGTGGAAGAAAGAGAAGCCGTCGAAGACAAAACGCGCGAGACGACCGACTAGTCGGGTTGCATCTTCTGGAAGACATTATTTCAGAGCGATTTTAATTGCAATTTTAAAGAGTCATCAAATAAACAGCTTCTTCTGATCCGGAACCCATTAATTTCTTGTCCAGTAATAGGAAACGTGACAATATTATTTATAAATTTCATGGGTCCTGCCGCAAAATACTTGGAAATACTGTAAACTGAAGAAATGCATTTTGTTTAACTAAAACTGAACAATAAGAAGAATGTGTGAATAAAATGCTGCTAAATCCAGTGGGTGAACAAACTATCCAATTAACTGAGTCTTATTATTATTAATACTATTACTACTACGTCTTCGGGAGAGAAATCAAATATTCGTCTATTATGGAGAATTTTTCGCCTTTAATGTGAGTAATGTATGAAGACTTATCCCTACATCAAGGCGTGACACTTCCACGAAGAGCATCTGCAGATCTTTGGACGTTTCTAATAAGCATATTATTTCCCTCGAAGAGATTCGTTTTTGTTTCTTTTCCCTGCTTATTCCATTGCTCCTGTTGCTCCATTGAAGTGTTATCTGTTTTATTTTAGTTTGTAGTAATTACTTCCTAGTCTACTTTGTAGCATAGCTTTAGTTGTGTATACGTACAATACTAGCCTGTGATGCTACTGGCTGTTCGCAAGCAAAACAAAACAAAAAAACTCCGTGGCTTGAGTCTGCAAGGGAACTATATCGACCGAGCGACCACCGCTTGTCGGCGAAGTTAGTGCCAACTTTACGGCCGCGCCATAGCTCAAGCGGTTAGTCGCTGGCTTCCCACCGCGGCGGCCCGGGTTCGATCCCGGGTCTGGTCAAGTGGGATTTGTGGTGGATAAAGTGGAGCTGGGGCAGGTTTTCTCCGAGTACTTCGGTTTCCCCTGCCAATCTTCATTCCACCAATTGCTCCACAATCACCCTCACCTATCATCTGGGGCTGATACAATAGGCCAGAAGTGGCCGTAGTACAAGGGACTTAGTCCCACCCCACTAACAGTAAAAAAAGTAGTGCCAACTTTAGCGGATATAGGGTGTAGCGTGTTCAGCGTAACGAATCCCCACGGACGTATTTCGGTTTTCTAGACCGTAGCCACTATTTTCTTGAAATAGTTCCTAAATTATCCTCACGAGACTGAGTGGACCCTGTTCCAGATCCACTACTTCTCAGAAAATCTGGTAGCATCGGGTATCAAACCCGGGAACTCTGAACACTAGACCACTGCGGCGGTCCGGCTGTTCGCAAGCATTCAAATAAATTAATTATTATTGTTACTGTTATGTTTTATTGTTTTTGATGTTGCTCTGTTCTTGATATAATATTATTAAAATGATTAAATACGTAAATAAAATAGACTGAATGAGAAACAAGTCTCCCACGACGAAGAGAACAAACGCCGACAGGATTACATCAGGAGAACAGCAAGGATAGAAACCCGCTAGGATATAGGGACATAGAAAGTGAAATAGGCCAGGAAGGCTCGATTCGAACCCTTCCTATGCCATTCATGGTAATAACCATTGAGTTTCTTACTATACATTAAGTGGGCAATACATTTGTGAAAAATCGTTAAATAAAGTAAAAACAATTCCTTGCTCTTCTAGTAACCACTGCCTCAGGCTAGTTGACATGTCCTTCTGTCGTACTAACAATCATGCAACTCTTTCAAACGGCAGAAGCGAAGAGTCAAGTACATAACCTGCGGGGGCCTTGGTCTTCTCTACATGTTAATAATTTTCTATTGCCGTTTAAATAAAACAATTGTGTTCTCAGGGCCACCATTCTTGTAAATTTGCTGTGATACACTGAAGTGACTGTACCTGCAATCCTCTCCAACGCAGAGATCAGAGCACGGCTTGTCTTGGCAGCAAGGCATGGCAGTGGCATGGATCACATGATATCAGTTACTCTCTCACTTGCATTTCTCGTGCAGGTAAATGTCTGTGGAGTGAATTGGTCACATGACATGCAACCGGATTCAGTATTGCTCAGAGCAGGAAGTCGCGTGTGTAGTGCGCGGTTGTGATGTCTGTATAACGATAAATTTTCGGATAGATTGGTGCGTTTAGTGCCTGGATCATGTGGCTGTTTTGTAGCTTCATTAAGAGCAAGTTTATTTTACTTAATATTAGCTATCTGGAAAATAATTCTAGGTGTGCTTGTAGATGTGTTCATAATAAGCGATGAATAGGAAATCTCATGATTTTGTGAACATACATACACTGTATCAATACAAACATATTGATAAAATACATAAGTGCCGTGAAGTTGCATATATTCAAAGGTGTCTTATGCAGACGTGTGTGATATACTGTAGACTAGCGAAGCAAGGTCACCGGTCTCTGTCTGAAGGGCTCACGTATCTTCACCCGTAACGCTTGACAACATGGGAACCCAAGGTGAGTGCCAAGTTAACCTCAAGCAAACAGTATCAGAACTTCTTTCAAAGCATATCTGTCATTATCATACAATTTATGGCATTTTATTTATCTTTTACGATTACTTACTGTTTTCCTTCGTTGCTATTTGACGTTGTTTTCATCAGTCAATGCATTTTTGTATAATTTGGATTTACTTACTTACTCACTCATGGAGCTGAGCCCTTCTGGAGGAGCCGCCAATTCTGCATCTACTCAAGAATTTCCCAGCATTTTATGGAACCCGAAGGTTCATTACCGTGTTCACAAGAGCCCTCCACTGGTCCCTATCATGAGCCAGATCAATCCAATCAATACCATCCCCTCTTATCTCTCTAAGATCCATTTTAATATTATCCACCCACCTATGCCTTGGTCTTGCCAGTGGTCTCTTTCCTTAAGTTTAATATTTTTTTAGATACAGTGGCCTATAACGTAATATCTCATAAAATTATTTTGGGTTAAGGCAAAATCATAAATAAAATCCGAATTCATTGACACATTAGAAGACGACCATCCAAATCAGGTTAGTTCTTTCCCATATTTGTCTTGACATTTATGACCGGGTGATTGAACAGTCCATGAGATTCGATAAATACGTTGTTATTTTGTTACATATGATATCTTACATTCCATATTTAACCTCTCATGTAATTCTGTCGGATGGGACTGTGTTAAAAGAAATTATTAACACACGGTTTGTAATTTACCTGAATCCGCCCACTAAGAATTTTGGTACAGTTTGAACGAAGCAGAATATGAATGTTTTATACTTCTGCCCAGAACGGTACCAACGGTACCCGGCTTCATACTTCAAGAAAATGATTCGTTGACATTACGTACAGAAGTGACGAAACCTGGGGAACGCGGCAGCATAGTTGGTTGAGGCACTATGCTACAAGCTGGAAGGTCGCGAGATCGAATCCCGATGATGTGAATTTTTTTCAATTTATCTAATCCTTCCAGCCGCACTATGGCCCTGGGTTCGACTCAGCCTCTAACCGAAATGAATACCAGGAATCTTCCTGGGGGTAAAGAGCGGCCGGTACGTAAGGCTGACCTCACCGCCATCTGAGCCGATTGCCTAGAAAATGTGGGAGCCTCAACACCTCACAACCCTATGGGCCTCCACGTCTTGCTACGGGGATTATTTGCTTAGTGGGGGTTGGAGTCTAACTGGGTCCACTCGGCACGGCGGCCACTGATTAGCCTATTGTACCTGCCCAGGGTGATTATGATGATGGAGAATTTGGTAGAATGAAGATTGGCAGGAGAAATCGAAGCACTCGAAGAAAACCCGCCCCAGCACCACTTTATCCACCACAAANTTCAGGGTAGAAGAAAAAATATAAGAAATCTGCAAGCGAAGAGACCGTGAGAACCGGTAAAAGCAGATTTCTTATATTTTTTCTTCTACCCTGAAATTGGAGGCGATACGTTCCTCCGAAACGTCGGTTAACACCACACATAGACGGTGCCAAATCCCAGAAGACTGCTTTATTCATAGTCACCACCGTGAAAGCCTCAAATCTTACCTTTACTTATACTTTTACAGACGAAACCTATCAAATTATGTTTTCTGTGATCAAGAATGTCCAGCTTATAGCCTAAGCCCCGAGCAAGTAAATATGATTGGCAGAACAGAATGTCGTGGTCAGATATCGTATGATCCCCCCACTTCCATTCTTATTGAAAAAAAAACGATTGAATGGTATCACCATGCCTCCTGTTTCGGTGATCCATTTCAATTTTTCAACTAATTGGCCGATTCCCATGAAGCTTAGTATGAAGTTTGCCTTCGGAAGCAACCTCAAAGTCGTACATATAAAGTTCCTACACCAATTAATAGCAAAGCTGATGCGCGAAGTTCTGAAGTACAAAGTCAGCTTAGTGTGTGAACAGGGTGTTACAGTGCATTATATTCCATGGATCCAAAATTAGTCGAAATATTTGTAGGATGTGGAATATGTCATATAAATACAAAACATTTGTACAGACCCAATGGAGTTCTCACACAAGAGACACCAAGATTACACAGTGACTACACACAAGGCTATTTAAAGATACGTAAGTTATTTTCTAGACAACAGGTGTTCATCAACAGAGTAGAATGAATGTGTATTTAAGAATCTTTTTCAGTGCTATTTTAAATCGTACCTTTTCATTCATAAGACCTTTGAGATCAGAAGGCAGGTTATTACAAATTTTGATCCCAGCATAATATACTCCTTTCTGAAAGCATGAGAGGTTAGCAGTTGGTTTATGTAGACAGTGTTTATGCCTTGTGTTAACACTGTGAGCATCCGCATTCATCTGATAATGTTCTCCGTTATTTGTAATGAAGTTTATTAATGAATATATAATGAATATACATATATTCATAAGGCAAAGTTAAGTTCTGTAGTCTCTTAAATAGTCTCTACAGGAATTACGGGATTTGACATTCTAACAATTTTCTTTTGCAATATAAATACCTTTTTACTGTCAGATGATTACCCCAGAAAATTATTCCATACATCATTAAAGAGTGAAAATAAGCAAAATAGATCGATTTGAGAGTGTCAGTGTTACTAATATGTAACATGAATCGAACTGCATAACATGCTCTACTTTAGCTTTGGAATCAACTGATCGATATGGGTTTTCCAGTTTAAATGATTATCAATTTGCAAGCCAAGGAATTTTGTGTTTACTCCCTCTTCTATATATTTATCATTATATCCTATGTTTAATGGATATTGAGGTGAGTTTTTTGTTATAAATTTTATTACATTTGTTTTTTATAGGTTCAGGGACAGCTTTTTTTTTTGTTGCAGAAAACCATTTACTCATTTTCAAAAGAACCTTGCTTGATAACATGCAGAAATCATCTAAATTTTTACCAGAAATTATAACACTAGTGTCATCTGCAAATATAGGTATTGATGACGTCCTTAGTGTAGGAGGGAGGTCGTTTATATAAATTATGAAAAGCAAAGGCCCCAAAATTGACCCCTGTGGAACTCATTGTTTTATTATTCCCCAGTTTGAGAAGGTACTCTGGATTGAATTTTATAATTTTATTTCAATCTTTTGTTTTCTATCTCTTAGGTAGGCTCTGAACCAACCTAACGTTATTCCTTAAATGTCAAAAAAATGTAATTTAGTTAGTAAAATTTCATGATTTACACAATCAAAAGCCTTTGCCAAGTCACAGAATATTCCACCAACATGCATTTCTTCATTAATAGATTTCAACAAACTGTCTGTTAACTTAAGGCTGCATTTTCAATGGAAATTCCTTTCCTAAAGCCAAACTGTTCTGGTACTAGTATATTGTTACTCTGAAAATAATGGCTTAACCTATTGTGCATAACTTTTTCAAGTACTTTAGAGAAAGTAGTTAGCAGTGAAATTGGCCTGTAGTTTTACAACTAGTACCTACTAGTCTTGTCCCATTATTTATATAGTGGTCTTACTACTGAAATCTTAAGATGATCAGGAAAGATTCCTGTGTATAGTGACAGATTACAGATGTGAGTTAATGGGCTACTGATTAGAGATGCACAAACTTTTAAAATTTTACTTGTTATTCCATCATAACCTGAATGGTTTTTTGTTTTGAGGAAATGTATTATAATTTTTATTTCAGTTTCAGTTGTTTGAATGGTTTTAATACCAGGGAATTTTCTTGGGACTGCCTCTCTTAAAAATGAGATGACATTATCTCCCATTTCTTGATGAAAGTTTAGATTTTCTGTAATTGTTGGAATAAAAGTATTGAAGGCATCTGCAATTTCTCCTGTGTCCTCAACTTTTTCAGCATTTATAAGGAGAGATGGTGCCTGTTCAGTCAGATGTGATTTTCCTGTTTCATGTTTTATTATATTCCAGGTTGTTTTTATCTGATTATTCGATTTTGTTATAAGCCTACAGTAATACTGCCTTTTAACCCCTTTTATGACTCTACTCAGGATTTTGCAATACCTTATATAGTATGCTCTCATGTAGGGATTATTACTGCTCTTGCTGTCTGCATACAGACCCCTTTTATGTTTACAAGATATTTTTTATTCCTTGTGTAATCCAGTTGTTGTTTTTTCAACTTACACTCTTATTCTCCATAGGAAAACTGGCTTCAAAGATATTTAGAAAAAAAAAGAGTTAAACTTATAATTTATATCCTTATTTTTGAAAACAGGTTCCCGCCTTTCATTTTATAATAGATGTTGAAATTGAGCAATGGTTTCACTGTGTGTTATATGCTATAGACTATCACAAAATATACATATTTTATAAGAAATTATATGCAGAATATAAAACAACAAAATTATAAATTTTTTGTTTTGATGGCGTGGTATTTGGTACAGAGATAAATATAGGATGCCTAAAAATTCTGTATTAATATTTCTATATTAACGAATACAGCTATAGAGACTCTGCAGAACTATGAAGCTACGTTCGAAAATATAAAATAGAGAGAGTATGTAATAACGTATTAATACCATAACAATGAAGAAAGCAGTTTTTGGGATTTGGCACCGTGTATAAGTGGTGTTAACCGACGTTTCGGAGGAACGTATCGCCTCCATCTTCAGGGTAGAAGAAAATATAAGAATTCTGCAAGCGAAGAGACCGTGAGAACCGGTAAAAGCAGACTGCTTCGCTTGCAGAATTCTTATATTTTCTTCTACCCTGAAGATGGAGGCGATACGTTCCTCCGAAACGTCGGTTAACACCACTTATACACGGTGCCAAATCCCAAAAGACTGCTTTCTTCATAGTCACCGCCGTGAAAGCCTCAAATCTTACAATACCATAACAAGTATGAAATAACAAGTAACGAAGAAATTATTACTTTAATCTGTTCGGTTGAAAGTGTATGGAATAAACATGGGCTTAGGAGTTGGGATCTGAACCCGTCGCCGTTGCTGCTGCCTGCTGTTAGGCCGAGGGAAGCACCCTCATAATCTTTGTACCTTACTTGGAGCTTACTAATTTGT